CCAAGAAACTTTGGGGAGTTGACAAGAATACACCCAAAAAGGTTTTGGGGGGGGGGGGGGGGGTTTAAAGTTCGATTTCACTAGGGCGGCTTCCAGCAGGGTGAGGTTTGTCGTCCCGGGCTATCCCCAGAGCGATATGGCGCCTATGTCCGTTTAAACATAGCGAAAGATTATGCATAAGGTTGAGTTCCAGAGTCATTCACTATACATAATCAGGCGATTATGCCGGCGCCCCGGCAGGGTGCGATTTTGAGCAGCGGGCTTTTTTTGGATGGTAGTGGAGATAAACCCGTGCATCGATAAATATTATCCAAGAGCAGGCATTGTTTACTGTTAAATAAGTCAATTTTAGAAAACAAGGCCACGCATCTAAAAGTAAAGGATTGGTTAAGCATTGTTGAGAATACTTTCGGGGAGGTTTGTGCAAAAAAAATAATTAAATTTTGCATGGATGGCGCCCCAGCAGGGTGTAATTTGGCACCCAGAGTTATTTTGTGAGCCCCATGGCGCCTACGTTCCTTTTAAACAGTGCGATAGACTATGAATAAGATGGGGCATAAGATTGACTAAATTGAGTCAGGCGTGTTCGCCGGCGCCCGACAGGGTTTAATTTGGCGCCCCAATTATCCCGGTAGCGCTGTGGCGCATGCGTTGGTTTTAAATAGCTTGATAGAATATGGATAAGAAGTAGTATTATAGTCGTTTACTAAACTGAATTAGGCGCGTCCGCGCATGGTACAATTTGCCAGGGACTATCCTCGGACTTTCTTCTAGCTCAGCGGCAGCACTCAAGGGCGGCAAGCTACTTTTAAATATAATCGATTTATTTATCAAGGTCTTTAAGTCAATTTAACAAATAGTTTATTTTTTGTTATCTGCTGTGTGGTAAATTCGCTATTCATAATGAGTTTAATGGAAAGAGACTATAAAGCATTTGACAATTACTGGCTCCTTTATCAATGAAAACTAATTATTTTGCTTTTTAAAACAAAATTAATTAGGATGTGTTTAATCAAATGTTTTTTTTTAAATATATATTTTGTTGTCAAGGAAATACATCGACAGCTGTAACTCAACAAGTACAAAATGGAAGTATAACCAGGAGGTAGCTATGGCTTGTCAAACACTGAACAAGACAATTCATGAAGTCTTTATTAGAGACTTAAACATGCCGGGTGTACTGTATAAAAATATTTTCTGTGCTATGTGCCATATGGTGAGTATTTATGAAAGCATATCTTTATGTTTATCGATGAGGCATATGAGGTACCACATATAGTTCATTAATTGAACTGGTGCAGTCTTTAACACTTTTCCATCTCCAGTAACATCTAATCAAAATAACTTACATTTAAACTATTAAACAACTATCATAGTCAATTACATACATGTATATATTTCACAAAACCAACAATAATTTACAATATACTCAAAACGATGTGGCCAAGCGGTAGAGTGCTAGAGTGCTAACTAGAGAGTTCCAATCCGGGTTCAAATCAGTAGAACGTCCCTGAGTCCACCCTGCTCTGATGCGTACCTAACTCATGTGAGGAAAAGTTAAGGCGGCTGGGCATAATGCTGACCACAGTATCGCTTCCTATGCCGAGTTAATAGAAATAGGTAAACTCTACTTCACTTATGCCATGAACAGTCAGGTTAAAGAAGGGAAATTTTACTCAATAAATAAATACATCGTTTAGATATTTCCCACCACTTCTAGGATTTTTTCCCTCTGTATGGAGATTGTTTACAACCGACAAAGAGAAGCGTCTTTCCTTTTCCTCAACCTATCGTAAGTATATTTTTATTTCCTTTTTTCTTCTTTTTTTTCTTATCATTTATATAATGTCCTATTTACTTAATTAGATCACTCTATGTTCAATGCAGATAAATTTAAACAACGGGTAAACGACATGTGTATCACTGTTGTCTTTTTATGCTTGTAACTAGGCAGGCTCTCCTTCGAATGGGACTTCGTCTCTAGCTAGTCGCTGCCATGTACCCATTTCTCTTCTCCTCAACATTAGAAAGGCTCCATTGGACTTGTTGGATATAAATCCGTACGAACAAAGAAAATGCGGACATGATTATTGGACGTCGCCAGATGTAAGTAAACATTTACCTTCAGCTGATCAGAAAACAAATTTCAAAATTTTAAATTGCCATTTGTCCAGAGTACTAAATTTGGATTTTAAAAAGTTTAGCGAACTAAAAATAAACATTGCCATGAGTAACGTATATTATTATGTCAAAACTAGCTATCCTTATATTGCACCACTTTACTTGTTACGCGTTGATGCAAACCAGTCCTAAAAAACAAAGTATCGAAACATGTTATAAGGTTTTCATCAACTTGTGGACTATCGTGTATTTATAGAATTGTGACCTTGTTTTCTAAAACTGTGTAAACAGCACAGGCGTTCTATTGGATCTTCGATGATGTAGCGCGGGCTTGTCCAGACTACCGCCCCAGACGCCCCTTAGCGTGCTGTATGAACGCCCTGAGTGTAGATTAAACACCCCTTGTAATAGCAATATGAACGTTGGCACCATAGTGCCAAACCGTATACTGGGAAAATTCTCATCCTGTATATATATATATATATATATATATATACAGAGAGTGAGAGATAGTGACTAGCTGCATTCCCGTGCTCCGCTACAGTCAATCTCTTTTTTTATGTACCAACTTGGGAACAGAATAAAACCAAATACAAACACACACAAAACGCCATCACGAACGCAAACATAAACACAACGCATACGCAAATTGAAAAAACACTAAACGCAAACACAAACACAAGAAAAACACAAACGCAAACACAAACATAAACCAAACACAAAAGCTTTATCAAATTGCTGTTTCAAACTAATGGCCTCTATTCCACACATTCTTGAATTACCGTGCTGATATAATTATTAAATATTTTACTTAATTAGTTTCATTCGACTGTTATTAAAATGTGTTCCATTTTTTTCTACGAATCTAAGCGAAATATTATTTGACATTGAACCGTTATTTTTGTTTTAGCAATATGCCTGTATTTAATATTTTTATAGCGTTCTAATGTTAACGAATGCATAAGAGTAAAAACTTTGTCAACACTCAAAAAATTTTTAGTCGTTACATAAATAAACTCTACTCGATAACTTATAATAAGACAATGCGATTCAAGGAAAATGCACAGCATGTGGTGATGTTTACTTTTATGGCTCTATAATCTATACCGATAACGGACATACTGACCCGCAACCTGACTGCTTATATTATAGATTTTTATTTCTTATTTTTAAAGCACTACGATTTAACATCTTGCTATAATATCACAGGGTGACTGCATCCCACTGGAGTGTTCAGCTGGGAAAGTATTGCACAAAAGAAATTGTACAACAGCTTTTGAACTGATCAGAGGTCTGAGTTATAACTTAAATATAATATTATACACCGGATCAGAAGATAGCAAATCGTTATTGAATAAACTGACTTACGTGCTATTACTACACCTGGTCGACAAAATAAATTGCAGGGTAAGACAATCATAATGAAGACAAAAACATGTAATTAAGCAAACATAATTATCCAATACACGTAAAGATCACATTTTAAAAATGTATATATATATATATATATATATATATATATATATATATATATATATATATATATATATATATATATATATATATGTGTGTATGTGTGTGTGCGTGTGCACGTGAGAGTACGTGCATGTGTGTTTGTATGTGGGAGTATATTTATGTGGGTGTAGGTGTGGATGAGGGTTCTGTGTGTAATGTCGTGGGTACGTGTGAATGAGATTGCAATTAAAATCAATTTAGTGCTTGTTATTTTAATTGAATTTACCAAGAAAATGTAAGATTCAATACATATTTATTCAGATTGACGAACTACTAAAGAAGTATGCGTTATTCTACATGGCTGACATAAATGTTATAATAGCTACCCAACTGGGATCAGTGGGAGACTTCAACATTACTTCAGTCCTGACATTTTGGACAAACTTGAAAATCATATCTAACCAAAATTTCACCAGAGACGACTTTGAGGAAAGAATTTTAAATGAAGAAATATTACATAATTATAATTTCACCGTTGAAGTTAATAAATCATTGACTTTAAAACTATATTCTATGAACTCGATTGGTGATTCGAAAACGTGTTTACATTTTAATACTGAAGAAACATTAGATCGTTTAGCCTGTTTGGAATTTCAAAAAAATATTTCGATTGTTGAAAACGAACACGAAAAATATTACATAGACTCATTTATTAATCTCAAACGCACATTAACCTGCAGTTTTGTGTGTTTTCAAAAGTACCTTTACGAACTGGATTTGAAAGACAAAGATATCCCACCAATTCCAATGTTGACCGTTTATCTAGAACCAACAAAGCTGATCTTCACACAGAGATCTGATCTGAACATGATGGAGATAGATGAAGATGGCGTGTTAAAGATTTGTGTTGAGCTTCTGGAGCAAAAGGTGAAAGAGATGAAACGTAACGAGCACTTACTGCATGAAAAACAAGCATCTTGGGACGTAGCTTATTGTTTAACACTGACCTGTGTTACGGTTTCAAGAGTTTGTCTTATACTGACTCTGGTAACGTACATGCGTTTTCCTGTGCTCAGAAATATTGCAGGAAAGAACACGATGTTTTTATGTTCCAGTCTACTATTGGTCCAGACTTCATTACTGACCAGCTCACATTTGTAAGTTATTTTTTGTATCATTTTTTCTTTGCAATTTCTTATTACTAATATATTATGGATAATTAACAATTTTTGCTTTCATATTTATTAAGAACCGCTCCAAGTATTCTGTGTACTGCCTCTGGAATCTCCACCCACTTCCTCTGGCTCTGGATGTTGTCCTGGAGCTTCACTTGCAGCTACCATATGTTTCAAATCTTCACGTCCAACGCACCAAATTATATTACTCCCCACTCTGAAAGACGACAGCTCTACAAAAACGTGTTCATGTCGCTAATACTGCCCTCAGTTGCCGTGTCCATGGTGGTCACTTTTTCATACGTCTACACACAGGAGCGGGTCATTGGTTATGGTCACCTGTTGTGCTATCTAGATTCTCCACTTCTAAATGGTACGTTTAGTAGATGGAAAAGAACATACATATTTGAACCACATTGATAAAAACGTATTGTCGTTGTGCACGTAGAACTGAATCAATTTGAAATATGAATAAAATTAAAAAATTAATGTCAATACAATGTACGTTGTAAAGTCTCCATTTATATGTTTGTAAAAATTCCATTTTCTCGCCAGGTGTGACCTTTGTATGTCCTCTCACTTTGATTACAATAAGCAACGTCGTATTCTTTGGGACCACGGTTTACAAGATACATAGCACAATAAATCTTCAGTCTGCCGAAACTGTCAGAAAAGACAACCAGCATCACATCTACGTTTACGTCAAGCTTTCCTTCATGACTGGAGCATTTTGGACATTGGCTATCGTAGCGGAAACAGTAGACAACCAAGTTTTAAGGTGATTGCAGTACAATTTGTAGCCTACCAACTAAATTTAGAACTAGCAATTAATAAGTTAATTCAAATGAAATTGAAAGGTCATTTTAGAGTAACTTTTATTTACAAGAGCTTCATTAAAAATCCTCAAAATTCTTATTTTATATTTTATACGACTATATAAATAAAAGACATGAATTAAGTTTTCCTTACTCCTTAGGTTAATATCCATCATCTTAAATGGATTACAAGGTGTCGCCATATTTGTATCTTATATCTGCAACAAACGAGTCTTCAATCTGTACTGGAATCCTAAGGGCCACAACTCCACGATGGTCTCCGAGGTTGAGAGAAACTAAAATTGATGAAATTATTTCCTGGTGTAAGAGAAATTTAAAAAGTAAAATAAACCATGCTACCATGAAAAAGAAAGTAGTTTTATGTTTCGGAGTTGACAAACTAAAGCATTGATGTGCAGAGTAAAGTTGTATATTTAACTAGTAGTTTGTATAGCGCTTAATGTGTGTGTTGTTTATTCCTGTTTGAAATAAATTGTGTATATTATTTTCTCTATTTTCTCATTCTTCCTACTAGTCTTTATTCTGAATTTCAAAAAAAACACTAGTACAGTAGTATCATTTAATTTCTAATTCCTCACTAGCAGATTTTTATATTTGCACTTCTAAGGCTCTTTATGTAATTGTAGGTAAAGATCAAAATAAAGGATTTTAAAAATTCACCAACTGAGCATTTTATTAATGTCTTTAAATGTTTTTAATTTCTTTAATGTTGTAATCACCAGTTAAGAAAATTGCCATATATTATGCTCCATGCTCAAAGCATGAATGAGCTGTAATTTATGTAAATAGTGCAATGACGACTTTAGATTAAGAGTAAACCAAATTAAAAAATCAGAATATTCGCATTCATATAGTAATTTAACACTAACGGATGAGAAATTTAAAAAAACAAGTGATAAGTAACATGAATCATTGTCTGCTAATATAACGCTACGCATTTTTGGACAGAATAAAGCGTGGATAATAAACGTAAGCTTTACTTGTTACATAGTAGTGCAGGGTCTCAACGTATGGTATGTAGAGTAGAATTTTAATGTAAGTCTTTGGTCCAATGTAGCATTTTCAACAACTCATGTGGAACTGGTACTGAACTAATTCATTATTTAAATTTTTATTGCCGTTTTTTACAATATGAATTTTAGCTAAAAATGTGTAAGACTGTTTTCGATTTAAAGAATACTAATAATTATTATAAAACGGGGTTCATAAGACTTTCTATTACCATCTTTAACCTAATTTATTAAAGTCGAGACTTAACAGTTAAAATACAAATTAATCAATTTTTGTGTTTCAGTTCTATAGTTATACATTTTTATGGTTTAATTTATACCAATCTCATTAACCGATATTTACAAATTACAATAAGATGTCGAGTCTCTTGGTCATTAATTTTAAAATTGAAGTATTTTAACACAAAGCATGCATCAAAATTATGACTTTTATAAATGTTGAATGAAAAGAAAAAATGTAAATATACGATACTAAACCATAAATTGTTATGCATTTAATTAGAACAATCTGTTTGAAACCACCATATGATCTTAAATTCGACAATTGCTTAATGGCTAGTTAATACATTTAATCACGAAGTAAATTTAAAACAAATCTAATTGCTGTTAAAGAGACACACACCAGTATTTAGCAGTGTCGGAACTTGAAAAAAAGCCCCCCATCCCAGCAGATGTTTTCGTCCCCCTATATATACTTATATTATATTTATATATACAAATATATATATATATATATATATATATATATATATATATATATATATATATATATATATATAAGCGGCTAGGTAGAGTGTCAGTCTGTCATCGTTATAGGCACAGACGCCCGGGTAATAGATAATTAATCCGGACCAAAGTCATTAGAACGACCCTGAGTCCAACAAATTCTGATGGATACCTAACTCATGTTAGAGAAAGTAAAGTCGGCTGGTGGGGGTGGGGGGAGGCAAAGTGCTGACCACATCTTCCATTCATATACCGAGGTCAACAAACATATGAACACGACTCCATTTGCTCAGTGGATCGCTATGTCTGATGAGGATTCTTAACTTTGTACTATACATTAAACGATTAACTGTTATTACGTACCTCTACCTCTGGTAAAGTTAACGCAATATCCGGATTCGTTTTGGATGGTCTTAGACTGATGACTTACGAAACTAAAAGATGACCAGACAAAAAAAAAACTCTCCGTGGACTCGAATATAATGTCTAGGGTAAAAACACACACGAAGACCTTCTTCAGCTAATAATACTTTTAATCAATCTAGAACACAAGTTTAAATAATTAATAGCTATGTAAAAACAAGAGAAATATATAAATAATGAAAGACCCAACTTATGAGTTAAAGAATAGCTCACTGAACCTGCTAAAGCTGGATAAAGTACCTAAGTAATCAACACAACCTACACTTTATCAAAATGAGACACAGAAAAATACTAAATACACTGGTACTTAGAGATAATTGCTGCTTAAACTAGAAAATACAACATAGTGTCAAACGTTGCTCTCTCTCCTGTGGATATCTAGTGGGCTGCTGTGCGAGGAAAATTCCTGCCTTATATACGACTCCAAATTATGGGATGTCGACCTCAATGATAAGGACCATTGGGAGGAAGTAGCCAAAGCACGAGCCACATGAACTCAGTGGTGAATACTATCACAAGAGCGTGATAGAAAATTTCTTTAGTTTGAACAACAGACCACTCAAGGCCACATAAATATTCATAAAATTAAACAATTAAAAAAAGGAGACCTAAGTAGGTCAAGGTATAAATTAGGCCATATAGGATAATGGCACGATTTTTTGTAATATTTAAGCCATACAAAACAAAAACTGAAAAGTATTAATATGTTTGTTTTTTTGTATGGAAAGAAATGTGTTAACACGATATTTTTTTTTTGCACTCGTAGTATGTCTTATAATGTAAGCAATCATAAAATTTATAAATTGTAGCCTCCTCGAGGGTTCGTGAGCTTTAATTAATTTTATTTTATTTCTCGCTTACTTAATAATTAGTCTACTCGTTGCATAAGGCTCATTCACGATTTTGATTTTTTGCACGATTATTATTCTCCCTATCGTATGCGAGAAAGTAAAACGCTAGAAATTTAAATTGTAGAAATCAAACTTTTCCATAATGCCCGTCAGTCTACAGCGTGTTAACTTACTGTGACAGTGTTAACATGCTAAGAATATCTAAAATTGTTTTTATCGTAAGAGTGAAAGCTCATGGCTACGTGTACCTCTCGATTTTACCCACTATTCCTCATAACGCTAGTCAGTGATTGCAGGAGGACATTTAATAAATATTTACTGACTAAACTTTTTGATGTCATTGTGGCTTTTTGGTGTGCGCACAAACTCGTACTACAGTTACCGTACAATGTGTAGTACACCATGACGATGTTTGAAAGGAAAGAATGTTTGATTAGATGTGTCTCATTGTAATCAACATAACTTTCCCAGTTGCTTTAAAATTTGCATCATTTTAATTCTCTGTAATCCCAAATTTATTTCAGCTCTATTTAAAAGCCCAAACCCACCTCAGCCCACTACGCCGATGGAAAAAAAATCCCTTGAATCATCATTTAATTACACATTTGCGTTTTCAGGTTTTAAAAAAATGAAATTGTAATTAGACGTTTTGTATTAGATCTATGTATAAGTAAACCCTCTTAAATGAATGAAGTATGCTACAAGTAAGAAAGAAGTATTACTAGATTTTAATGACTAGTTGCCAAATTTCAGCTCAGTCGGACAGTGGTAGGTTGGTTAAATTAAGATTCCAAGATTTGAAGAGCCACAAATAAGCAAGCAAAATAAAAGCCTTTAATAACACCGAAATTATCACTCTCTTCAAGTAGTTCTTAACATTTTAGTGGTACCGAACCCCACCAGCTTCAGATGCGAGTTCACTGACAATTCGTTATAGGAAAAATAACACGATTTTTTTTCAAAGTCACAATATAACTTGTTCTATGGTCAGCACTGACAAAATCCCCGGTTATTACCCAATGCTATGTTCTGTACATTCACGTCATGAAGCATTTTTTTAGCGCTGGATGAGTGACGAAAATTGTGTAATTGACACTGTTTTTTTTATTAGTAGAAACGTTCAATTTACCTAAAAACTAAACAAAGATATCGTGTTACATATTACATTTATAATATTCTTTACGATACCGTTTTAAATTCTGTGGAGCTAAAGAGTTGTTAATTAGCAAATTAACCACTCTTATTGGCCTAAAGATGTGGAATATCAAATTCTATACTGAGTATAATTATACCCTATACATTATATAATTCGCGTTTCTGTTTCACAACGAATAAATTTACTTTTAGGAAATTCAGATATAAGACCAGATGAAGCAGTTACAATTAATATTTTTTACTTGAAGTTATAAACTAGCAACCACATTTTTGTATTCATATTTTAAATCTAATAATGTGTTTTTATCTAAAATTTTGTGTATGAAAAAATTCAAAATCCAAAAGACTGATGGCTCGACAAGTTAATAGCTGTATCCTTAGGTTGATTTATTATTTAATAATTTATAACCATTTCACAATATCAGACTCTGACTATGGAGCTGCTTTACTTAAACAAGAGACTAACGCCACGTCAAGGGACATATCTGCAAACAAACCTAGCAGCGGAGTAAAGGACATAACTACACTGAAAAGCGTCATCAACGCTGAGGAACATACCGAAATCGAAAAATCTTCTGAGCCGTATGTCCCAAGTTACTGGTATCAGTCTATGAATGGTGAGTCTAATTCAAGCAAAGTCGACTTCCAACCTGTGTCTCAATGGAAATTTTCGACATTAATCCAGCCTGGCATGAAACAATTACTGTACAGATCCCCAAGAACAGTGGGTAATTCGCAGTTTACAACACATAGTGGTATTTCTCAATTCAACAGCAGCTACATGTTACCAGTCGACTACCAACAGAGTTACTGCCCCTTACGATGTAACAACAACCAGACTGTGAAGATGTACTCAGCTGAGAAATGTTACGTCCCTTATTGTCACGCCTGTAGCTGTGAGAGACCGGCTTGTGAGATCTACGACAACTGCTGTCCTGACGTCACGGACACCTACTACCCCATAACTTATCGTAACAACGAGACTGTGATAAATCCTTATCCGAAATACGACACAGTACGTTACAGCCCGGTTTTAACGTGCGATGAGAAATTCTCCGACAGACCGGTGCTGTACATCCACTCCTGCCCACCTGAGTACATGGACAAGCGCACG